GAGAAGAGCAGGTAAGTTATGTAATACAAACACTGTTACATGTTCAAGATACCAAGACTTGGCTAAGTTTTGCGTCTGCATACTTTAAAAGTAAGAAAGGTAGAATAAATTAAGGGTAATGTTTAAAATATCAAAGTAAATAAATAAATAAAATAAAAACTTACCCATGCACCGCACCATATCGGAAAACTGGCCATTGTAAAGGTGCCAATCAGGTCAGATGTATAAGTGTAGTACGAGTACGAAGTGTAGAACGAGTAACCGGAGTAGTAGCTATAATAATAAATCCTTTCGGTATTTAAAGTCAAGGAGTTTTGGCTCGTTTCAAAATAGTTGAGATAGAGGTCGGCCGCGCCACACCCTATTATAATGAGACCCAGGGCAATCTGGAATCCACCCAAACATTGGAGGGAACCGTAAGGAAAATTGTCTGGGCGCTCTCCCGCCGGAACCACTTGGTTGTGGCCCACGTGCATTGTGGGTCTGAAAGAAAAATAGTGGTGTATTAACGGTGTGCTGTAGATGTTTTATTGTTTATTTTGATTGTTTATCTTGATTCTTTTTAAACTGCCATTATTTACGGTTAACATTATATACACGCATGGACTTAATTGCCACTATAGCTTAGAAAATGATCGAGGATTCATCCTCTCTCACTCTCTCTCTCTCTCTCTCTCTCTCTCTCCTCACAAGTATACTTGCGTATAAACAAAATACACGCAATACATATGTTTAAGTAGAAATTAAATAATACGAATAAATAGAGGAAAAAAAAGGATTATGATATAAACAAAAAATATAAATGAGATCTACCATGAGAAATGACACCCACACTGTTTTTGTTTAAATTTTAAATTCAAGAACTATTCAGAAGTACCACTACTAATACACAATATGCTTATTTTTTTCACATAGAATTGCACCTTCGGCTAACTCGCGACTTAAATAAACGACTGGAAAGATGCTTAAATGAAATTCAACGCCGCACTGTTTTGGTTACTTTTGTTCCGATAGCGCGACAGACACAATGCGAAATCCGGGGTTCGATAAAACCATCGATAGCAAACACAGGTGTGGCAAAGCGAAAGTAATTGTCGATATCATACCTGAACTTAACGTTTAAGTTAAGATATTTTTATCTTTCGTTTTATTCCTGAAATATCTGATATTTGTTTACACTTAACAGAAACCGTTAATTTATCCCCCTCAAACTCGGACAAAAATCGACAGTAAAGAAACCCACGTTGCGTTGGCCAGGGGTGTTTCAGTTTGTGTCCGCCATTTTTTTTTCATAGCTGATATATTTTTCAAATGATGTAACGTCAGTATAACATTTTGTCAAGCCTACAATGTCCGTTTTACATCCTTTGCGACATCAAAGAGAGAATATCACTTCATAAAATTCGCTAAAATTCAGTTTTATCAGGAGTCACCACTACCCAACCAATACATGTCCCATACTACTTCTTATTTAATTACGTTTTTTTTTTCTTGAACCAATTAACTGAAGAATAATACGTGTGTAGATAATAAAACGTTTACCTTAATTCTTCTTCCGCTGCTGATAGAGAGAGAGAAGGAGAGTGAGAGAGAGGGAGAGAGAGAGAGAGAAAGCGAGGGACGTAGTAGTAGAGATGTCATCTTAACTTACCTGAGTTTTTTTTTTTTTTTTTTCAAATTTGATCGTGTAGCCGGTTTTCCTCTGCGTCTTAACCGTCTTCACCGCCTAGGCAGCCAGTCAGCGCCCTATCTTCACAGAATGGTTTCAAATAATACACGACACTTATAAAATACTTCCCACTATGAGCACACATGAATTTTGCGACACTTAGTTATAAAGCTTGTCCTCAGCCGTGCCCTCAGTATGCAGCCTCAACCGATTCATAAAATCTGACCTAAATCTATTAAATCAATAACTGTCGCTTCGTTGCTAACCATGTCACAAATGTTTAGTCCCAAGGACTTGGAGACGAGATAAAAACGTTGTTCTCGAAATTTGTATCCTCTAATCACTCAATTACATACCCTATAAAGAGACACATTTATTCCAAACTCGAGAAATGGATTTTTGTCATCGGAATAGATATTTCGCAATAATAAGCGTGTGGTATATAGGCCTACTAGGCATAATACAGGGCGCGCATTGTATTGAACAATGGCTTTTATGAATAAAAGAAAAAAGTTCACGTGCACAAGTCCCGAGTGCCACCAAGTGAATAAACGGGGAAGGGTACAATGGCAAAGTCAACTTGGCAAAAAATCTTGTGAGCTGCTGCGGGATCGGTATGCGTGCCAGGGTTTTTTTTTCCTTAGTTTAGGAAACAGCAGTCTTTATCTCTATGTTACTTCTTCTCTGTCCTCTGTCATAATTATGATTTGGGGATCCTTTTAATTAATTTTAGCAAAACACAAATAAACAAACTGTAGTTATTTAACGAAAACGGTAAAATAAAATTAACAAGAGGAGTTGGAAGCTCAGTCCTTGAGGCAAAAATATTTGTATAACTTTTAGTTCTTGTCTACATTTAGAGAATACATGTGCAGTGCAGAAAGGGTGGGGGTAAAAAAAGCATATTATCAACAGAGGTAGACATTTGTTGGCACCGACCTCCCAGTATGTGATATCTTTATCGCACTTGAAGGGAAAATTAAATTAGCTTGGCTGTGACCATAGTGTGCTTGCCAGGCAGAATTAAAATGAGCGCAGAGGGTAATATTAGATGACACCCACTCAACACACGCGCAGGCGCACTTGCACTTTTGACTGTCGTGGTTGAACAGATCAAGCTCCAGGATGAGGGTAACCTGATATCACCCGGGATGAAGGCGGATTTAGTGGCGGATTTAGGGGGGGGATGTCAGGGAGATCCCGACCCCACCCCCTTAGATTTCTGAAACAATTCACACCAATGGTCCCCTCTTGAAATTAGAATTAATTTTGACTGGCTTAATCACCGTTCTCAACCGTTCGCCCTCTCAAATATCTTTTTTTTTGGGGTCCCTTAACCGGGCTTCGAACCCCACGCCAAGGGGGAGGAAGGGTTGGCTTCCCATCCGCAGACCCCCCCCCCCCCCCTTTAAAAAATCTTGGATCCACCCCTGCATTCCCCAGCACCTACCGGCACCCCCCTCCCCTTAATCCTGCACCTTCGTGTACACTTATACATGTATAAAGCGGTTGTGCATAATGTTATCGGGTCAGTTCTTGACACCCCGGGGCCAAGACAGGTGCGCGGAGGATTAAGTCAGTCACCGCCAGGAAATCTTTGTCTAAGACAAGCTTAAGTGCTCCATGTTCTGCGATAAACCTAGTTCAAACTTAAAGGGCGCACTTGTGAAAAGAAATCAAAACATTAAAATGAAAAGACGATATTTCATATTTATTCTAGAGGAACATACAATGAGAACTATAATTCCTTGGTGCATTTGATACGAAACGTACACTGTGACAGCAAACAGTGCGCTATATCGTTATACGGTATACCTGAGGTATCAATTGAGGTAGCAATAAAGCTAGGTAGTAAATGAACATGAATCCTTGAAAACACTTTTTCACGCAACGAATAAAAAATTTCTACCAGTAAAGTGATAATAGATAACATATGAAACTTTATAAAGGATGAAAATCAATTTATCAGACTCACATGTACAGTGCTTTTAGGCATCTCGGGGTCACTGCAGCATGACAAAAATCGAATTATTTCTGGATAAAAGAGAACCAGTTGGGTTTAAAAAAAAAAAAAACAATCAACACACTCATAAATAGAAATTACATATTAAATTAATAGTTAACCCTTAATTTAATGCCAACATTTTTAGCAAAGTTCGGGTTGGCTTTGTATTCGCAGCTCGCCACATACATGTAATACCTGTAAAATGGGTTAACAGACATGCCCTACTTGTCTTGTGATAGATATAAATTATTTTTTTCCTAGCGCTACTGCGTTGCATTTCACAATTTTCCATCACGTTTATAATACATCTGGGTGAACGCATTCAACAGAATGGTTTATTGTTCATAAAATATGCATGCAGTTGTTCAAAATAATTTATTTTCCTCCCCGTTCTTATCAATAACATCCATACAGAACTGTTTGGATGTACTGTATTTCAGTAAGAGATGCGTCAATAAATAATACTGTATACCTTTTCAGCTAAAAACATGTACAATTTTTTTCAAACTTGGGTGATCTATTTCTAATGAAATCATCCTAGTACTGGTGGTCTAATAAGAAAGAAGACTTAACATTGCGGTGTTCATGTACTTCATGTTTTCATGTCCTTTTTTATGGCAAACACAAAACAACTACCCACTTTTGAAATTAGACCCTGACAAAACCCTGAGATTCTAGCTAAATAACAAATGTCTATGTCTGCAAAACAAGATTGTTTTTCAATGCACAACGGTACACGAAATCATGCTGAAGCGTTACAAGTTCAAACGTCATTGAGCTCTATTAACGACTAGTGACAATAGCGTGCGGGGTTAATGTGCATTTTTGGACGGTCAGGAGGAAATGCTGAATCCCTAGTATTTTGCTAATAATCTCACCTTCATTCATATTCTCTTTTAAATTATTTTTTTTGTCTTTTTATGCGCATAAACTATTATGCTTGAAACCCGTTCCAATACTTGAAACGACATAAGGCAGACAGATTGAAAAATTTCTAGAAAAATAAATACGTTCAAAAAAATAAATAACTACGTTTAAATTAAAAAAATAATTCAATAAATACGTTCAAATAAGTAAATACGTTTAAATGAATGAATAATTTAACAGATATTTAGTAAATATATAATGAACAAGGCAAATATATACCGAGTATATAATGTTGGCGTCCAGAGCAGGGGCCACAGTGGGCCACGTACATGTATCATCTCTCCTAGTCTGTGGGGTAAGCGGGGACATCCCCCCCCCCCCCCCAGCCAAATTCTGCAACTTTGACTACTGCCGTACATTTGTCTACAGGTGTATGCTGTATATCCCCGGAAAGACAGATCAGCGGCCACATTTCAACAATTTCAAGAATGCTGTTCTGATCCTTGTATTTAATATGCCATATATGATCGGGTTACTTATGGAACTGAGGAACATTATTTCTAAACTGACGTTATAAAGCACCTCAAAAGTCACCCTACTGAAATATTTCTCCGTCAAATTGATAACAGAGAAGGGGAGATACAGTACAATGAGAGTCACCACTACCACCACCGTCATCTTGGCGACCTTGACCTCCACGTCGATCTTTTTCGTCTGTGGATCTCTTCTCTGCTGGGAGGAGGCGGGCCCTCCGTTAGGGCGTCCTCTGGCTGCAGAACCCGTGCTCCAAATCCCATTCGGTGTTGGAGTAGCCATCTCGGTGTCTTTTTCTCCGCGGGCTTTTACCCCATCAGTCGTCGGCCCAGATTTCTGCGATTCTACCGGTGGCAATGATAATACAGTCTCACGGGAGACCTCAATTTTAGCAGAAAGAGTCATACTTTGAGTTGGCATCTCTGTTGGTCCATCAGTCGTCGTCTCTTTCATATTCGTGTCCCTAAAATGGGAGAGTTTCCTCTTCTGTTGTCGCACGTGGTAATAAATGGCAAAGTAGAGGAATAACGCTGCTACAATGCAGACAGGGATGTGGGGTACATGAACATAGCGCACTAAATCTCCTTGCACTTGATTAGCGCGACAGTCCACCCCGGGGTTCCACGTGTTCCAGCCAAATAATGGCGGTAGGTTGATGGCTATCCCATACATCCACACACAAAGTAAAGCAACAACTAGCCGCCTGTTGGTCAGTACAGCGACGCATTTAAAATGATGACATATCTTCAGGTACCGCTCAACTGCGATGAAGAACTGATGGAGAAAAGACAAACTCACCATTCCGGACACCAAGCCAGTCTTTGCAAGGCAAAAGTATTTGTCCATTGTTAGATACTGCCAACTGGGGACCAGGAACACCAAGTAGGCCAAGACTAAATGGCAAGGTATCCCAATTGATCCGGTTATGAAATCCACGCAGGCTAAGCTCACAATGGCGAAGTTGCTTTGACACCGGATCTCCCTGAATTTCACATAGGATGCGATCATCAGACCGTTTCCAAACATCATGGCTAAAGCCAGTGTAACGTCGATGACGATAAAGGGAACGCACGTGAATCCTGTACAGGAGACTGGCATCACAGTTGTCGTCTGGTTGGACTCCGCTGACGAAGTTAAAGAAATGTTCTTTACCATGTTCTGGTTCTCCATTTCATGCGCTTCTGCTTCACTTTCTTTCAATGTCGTTAGTGATGAAATGAAATGTATGCTCCTGTGAGCGTTCCTTGGATTGGGCGTACCTGTCCCCGTTTGCCCTGTTGTCTGACCCTTAAACCCCATGCATAATACCATATACTGAGACAAATATACTTCCAAGAGTGAACCCCTGTTGGTCAAAAATACACCATTGTTATAGCATTGTTATAGCAAATGTGCTGCGGAGAACAGGTGACAGTGACGGCAAATGCTGTCTGCGAAACAACGAAAAGATATAATGGACTTAAAACCATATGACTGTTATATTTTGCCAAGAAAACGGAATCAGGCCAATGGCTTAAGACCTGTAATACGCTTTTCATTATTTCATTGGTAATTGGACTGCCACTCTTCTGAAGCCATAGAAATGAAGGCAAGCGGCTGTTACGTAATGGTGCTCTACACGTAAGTACAGGGTTTTCGCAACGTATCTGATTGTTTTCTCGACAAAGAAAGGCAATTCCCTCGAGAATTATTGCTCGAACCGACCTTTTACTTTGATTCCAAACTGTGACCCTAAAAATATAGACCGATCATTATTTAAATTTGTATTGTTTATATGGCTTTAATCGAGGAAAATTGACATTCTGTATAAATATAAGTATCAATATATTTTCTCTCTAATCAATGCCATTACGGAAGGTGGAATACCATCAATTCCACTGAAAGAAGATTAAAATGACCGAAAATACACCAAAGGTGCCAATTAAGTATACTGTAGAATGAGAAGATTTAGGACGACAATAATACCATAGAAAGAACATTTAATTAATGGTCTGAATGACGTGTACTGTGTCCTTAGAAGAGTAAGGTTATGCCAATAGGTAACAGCATGAACAGCGCTCTATACACGCTCTGTATACATGTACATGTTAATGCCGTGTGGAATGTGTGCTTATTACAACTCTCCAAACCCTTATTAAAACCGTTCAAAAGAAATCAACGGTCAACGGTCTCATTTTTACATTGCTGCTGTTAATTTGTAACCTTTTTTATTTGCTACTCATATAACGGATAAGCAAAATCATATGTAGATCAGAAATAGCCCTTACCGCTACTCGCAATATCAATGTGAATTAAAATTAAAGACAATGAATCTCTACCACACCATATACGGTACGTTTAACATTGTCTGACCCCTGTCAGAGTAATTATGCCGTTGGCCCAAAGTTGGCAAATGGGTATGGTTGGGGCATATCAAAATGGATAACCGCAGACAGATAATTGGAGACAGGGGACAACATGTGTAGCTTAGTGATGACGCCATTTTTTGACATTCGGTGTAAAAATCCACGCTGATTGCAAAAAGTTATTCCGAGAAACACCATGCGGCATTAATGGGATAAAGTCTATACCGTAGGCCCAATCTCCGTGCCCGTGCCCAACAAGTGCCCGTGTTTAATTGCAAATAAATTCCGTAGGCGTGTGCCCACGATGTATGTATCATGTTCTAAACAAGTAGCTTCGTGCGTAGGCGTATTGGCGTGCGTAAGTTACGCTCAGTTACGTGTTTAACACAAACACCATGACAATGTTTTGGAGCAGGCATCTGGATTAATTGCAATGCATTTTAGACTACGCTCCTTAATTTTCTGACGGGTAAAATGAAATTGTTAAAAAGTTATAAGTATGTTGGTGGAAATTAAATTGTACCTGATACTGCGTTTCGCAAGTCGCTGACGTATTAATAAAAATTAAGATGATATTCGGAAATTATTCTTCTGCTGATTAGCTATTAATCATCAAAAAGCAATATTTGAAGCTGACACTGCCAATCAGTTTAGAGCCATTGGGGCCTGTATTAATTGTCCACGTGTATTTATACGTGAACGGAACTCTTGGTTCCAGTCGTTACTGCAGCGTCGGATAGTCTTGACATCTTTGCTAGCGAGGTATGTATGCTCATATTGTACTTCAAATGTGTAGCGATATTGTTAAGACTAATGAAATTCTGAATATGTTTAATGCTGCACACGTTTGATACATTATAATTTTTTTTTTCAATTTGACACAAAAAGTTCGTAACTTTAGTCAATTCATTTCTTTTTTAAATATCGCTTTGCAGAATCATATATTTCTATGGATTATTCAATTATCTTTTTTCACTTTCTGTGTCCTCTTTTCGCGGTTCACTTGATATTACAAATTCGTGTATCCAATATAACGTTTTACTGACAAATATCATGCTAAATTTTTTTCTAAAAAATCATTTAAGGCATTTTAATTGATAATTTATATAAGATGTTTTTACTCGCTTTTTTTCCACTACAAAAGGATTACGATTCACTTGCGTTAGAAAACTATTTCAGCCACTCTATTCTCATAGCACTTTATCTTAACGTGAAAAATGTGTAATGCTCAAGAATGGGGGAGTTCATTTTGTTTATGCAACAAACAGAATATATTAAATGCGTGTCAATACGAACGTTACCATTTGGTTTCTTTAATAAGTTTGATATCGTGACTTTGTATGGTTTCTTCCTTTTCATGATAGCAAACTTTCATGTTTCCATTGATTACGTCCAGAAACTGCGTGGAAAATTTAAAAGTGGAGTATAATGATGGCAACGTGTGTAAAATGTATCTAGAAAGTTGTTTTAATCTAAAGCCATTTTGTCAAGTATAGCGTTTTTAATAGGTTTAAACTTTTGGTATTTTTACGAGCTTTTCGCGCCAAAGCCGATTTTTAGAAAGAAAAAAAAATTAGTACGTGTGTGACGAGGTTACTGACTTTGTCTTGGTGACGCGAGGTAATAACTAAACAAGTTCATGTTTTCCCATATTTTTTATTATCGCTTTCTAACTACGCTATCTACAGTTTATTCCTCATCGTTTCAACCTCTTACATCGTTCTCTCCGTCTACATTACATTCTTCGCTTAAGTACAATAAGGTCGTGTCAATCAACTAAAGTGACACTACAAAACACTCCCCGCTCTTATTCGCTGCATGCTGTCACTTACTAACGTTACACATGTACTTGCAAACCACTGCTTGGATTTAAGCCTGATGTTTTGTACCTATATTAAATAAACAACTAAGCTGTAAATGGATGACCATCCATTTAGGACATCATGTCTCCCTGGCGTTTCAGGAGGAAATATGCTCGTTAGATGCTATAATTTGAGGGATTTTATCGTTTCATATCTCTGAAGTACGTGGGAAAGATTTGCAGTATTTTTGTACATGAAATGATAACCACATGGCACTTTGAAACGCGCAAATCACAGTCTTAATCAAATGTAAATTAAATAATTATAAAAAAAGTATTATGGATGGAGAGCTACATAGTGGTGGAAATGGTATACATAGTATATGTGTATGCTCTAGTAGACACTGNAGAACTTGCGACGCAATGCTTAGTACTATTTTTGTTTTATGCCATTCATTAACTGACTTCATGAGGGCCATGAGGAAGATAATTTTTATATTAACCATGTCCCTTTCCTAACTTAAGTAGACAAATACCAGCCCATGTAAAATGAAGCTGATTTGTCATCCTGGATTAACGCATTCTGCACCAGCACTGAACAAGGAAATTAATAGAGATAGAGGCAGACGACAACGACAGATTAAGTGACATAAACATGGGCCCAGCGTCAGCTGGAGAACATACATTTCATCTGAATATTGATGCCAGCCAGGGGTATACACAGAAAACAGTTTTACCGACTTTCCCTCACAGCAAGCAATTTACCACAACTAAGTAATAGTCCACACCCACACCCTCTACACAATTATACTTGTAGTAAGTAAATGAAAAGGACTTCTGAATAAAAATTGTACCAGCACCTGCAAATTTAGCGAAAAAGGAAGAGATAAGGTTGATTTTGTTAAAAATCAGGCGTAAACTTCCACTACAATTTGAGGGGTGAATTAAGTTTGAATACGTAAATGATTCATAGAAAAAATATATTCATAAAACAACTGATCCATATATGAATGAAAATGAAAGACGAGAGGTGTTTGTGAAACAGATCCCCTCGGTAGGCCAAATCTATTTAACTGTCAGTGGAGATGTTTGCGTTGATCATGACTGTGACCGTAGCTGGCCTCAACCAACATGTTTCATCTATTCTCACGATAAATATTCTTGTTTTAACATATTAAAATATTAAAATATGAGGATTGTAGAAAGGGTCGTTCTCCATTTATTGTGCTGAATGTCAATGTGAATTTGAATTTGGCCTTACCTATGCTGAAGAAGTCAACACCACAGACAATTGGTATACCCATGCTCTGTTTTAGTACTTCAAATATTTAAACAGTGCTAATATCAGATATCTTTGAAATACACGTGTATGTTTCATTATTCAGTTCAGTAGTTGATGGAGAGGTATAATGCCAGCTTCAGAATAAAATAGGCGATCGCGTGTTTGCCTACCTCTACAATTCAAAGTCGCCTAACACAACAGAGGGAGGCTTCTGACAGTATTTCAATTTAATCAGCACTTATCAGTGGCAACAAGACAGTAGAGTGATACTATATGCAGCTGAGGGGATTTTTCTGACAGTAAGTCAATATAACCAGCTGATCTCGTGATATTGTGACTCGACGTACCGGGTAACGAACATGAGTCATGGGTTTATATGCTCTATTGCTATCCATTGCATTTATTAAAGGTATTTTCATCGGACTTTGCTAAGAAAGGCGTTTATTTTATTGATATTGTAAGGGGATTCCTTTGTATTTACCCCAAATGACACATCATGGGAATCCCCGACCCCACCCAACTACATTAAAGAAAACACTTCATGTGCACTCATGAAAATATTATTGCAAAATGCATTTAAAATTGTAGGAAGGTTGATTTTAGTTAATATAAATATATTTTTTTAATTACTTAAAAAATGCGGGGCGTTTTTGTCTTAAACTCACCACTATATACAATATGCAAGAAACCTCAATATAAGCTGACTATATTTAATCACCACGAGTAGGGGTGGGCAACTTTGGCTTACTCGATTTTTGGAGTTCTGAGCACCTTATAGCTTACAATAGAGTGTGTTAACAATGAAAACAGCATTTCTTTTGTTTTATTGGGCAACTTCGACTTACAATAGAGTGTGTCAACAATGAAGACA